AAGGGAAGTGATAAGGATATAGGCAGGCCCACAGTTAATAGAAGAAAGAAAAGGAGGGGTAAAATGGGCGGTCAGCAAAGTGTCTCACAACGAGCCAAAAAAGGGTTTTTTCTCTCTCGGGTTTGGCTAAAGTGTGTCAGCCTGTAAGAAAAGGGTGCTAACGTGTGTCGTTTAATGAAACGACGAACACGAGGCTAGAATAAATTGTTCCATTATGTTGCGCAACTGTTGGTCCTGGGACATAATATTTTTTGCTCTGTTCGAATGTAACTCTGCCTCGTTTAAGCTCGATTTGTAAACATTTGGTTCTTGAAAATAAAACAAAAAATTAAATTAAATTTCCTTAATCAAAATAAAATAAAGATAAAAATGCAACGAAATTAAAAATGGGTTACCTCACATGAAGTGCTTTGTTTAACGTCGTTTAGCTCGATGACCTGACTTCAGACGATAGGTTTTAAGATAAATACTTCATCTACTTTTTCCAACTAAGAACTTTCTTATGAGAAATTTTACGATCGTGTAATTCTTTTATTTTCTCCTTGTAGAATTTGGCATTCTCATAGATTTTCTTCGAATATTTTTTAGCTTTGAAAGGTTAGCCGAAATAATAGCTGGTAAAGTAGAATTTTCTCCTAAAAAGGTATTCTTTAAGTGTTTCAGCATTCGTTTCAATTCTAGCTCAGGTGCCTACAAAACAGAAAGTAGAACTTTAGACTTATAAAGAATCAAACGTAAATCAGAATGAACAGAAAATAAATTTTCCAACTCCCTGATTTCGTCATTGTTGTCTTCTAACTCCCTATATAGATCAAAAGATACATTAGTTTCTACAATCTCATTTTCTAAAGGACCAATAATACAAACATAATTTATGCTTGCCACTTTGTTTGTGTGCTTTATTTTCTTATACACATCAAATTTAATGATCTCACCATCAAATTTCATGGTTAAAATCCCGCTTCTTACGTTAATTTTTGTGTGCGCTGTACTTAGGAAGGGATGCCCCAATAAAAAAATTGGAAGAATTGCTTCTCTGATCATTCTCCGTGTCAATTTCATAAAAGTCAATAGGAAATATTAAGTCGTTTACCTCTACCAGCACATTTTCCAAGAGTCATTCCAGGTAAATGACAGATCTTTCGGCAAGTTGAATTAATATTTTTGTATCCTTTAAGGGCTCGTTAGTGATCATATTATAAATAGAGAAAGGCATCGCATTAATAGAGGTGCCAATATCACACATGGCTTGCTTTATCCCAACTTTACGAATTTTATAGAGTATTACAGACATACCTTGGTCTTTCAGTTGGTGGCAACTTTTGTTGGAATACAACTAAGACATGTTCTCCTAGATTTACCTTCTCATTCCTGATAAGTTTTCTTTTTGTTGTGCAAAGGTCCTTTTAAAATCAAGCATATCTTGGAACCTTTCGGATAATCTCAAAGAGAGGTATATTGATTTCCACCTTTTGAAATACGTCTAGTATTTTCTTTTCCTCAGCCTGTTTATCCCTTTTTACTAACCTCGATAGAAAAGGTGGTGGCACATCATAGGGAATGGCATTGGATCCGTTTGTACTTCGTCTTTCTTCTTTTTGGATCTTGAGTCAATATTCTTCTTTCCTTTCTGGATTGCTTCATTTTCTGGAACAGGTGGCGCGACCACTGTACTACTCCGAAGAGTGATGGCGCTAACATTCTCCCTTGGGCTTACCTCAGTTTGAGACGAAAGTTTACCTTGTGATTCTAAAAATCCTACGATCTGAGCTAGTTGGCTTTTATGCTTGTCCATCTCTTGGAAGTGGGCTTCAGTTCAAATCTGGAACTTTTTTTGGGAAAAAGTTAATCTTTCAACAATTGATTCTAACGATGACTTTTATGGCTGTTGGGGTGATGGAGGTGGCCTTGTTTGATAAGCTTGATTTGGCCTTGCGTTTTGAGCGTAACTGGAATTTGGATGATCTTTCCATCTTGGGTTATAAGTATTGCTACAGGGATTATAAGCCCTCTAGGGAGGTCATGGAAAGTTCCCGACTGCATTAACTTGAGTTGTTGTGTCATCATGAATCAGTGGACAATTGTCTATTGGATGGTCAGATAGTACACAAATTCAACGTAATATGTTGGATCTTATCTTTCTTGCAACAAGAAAGTTAACTACTTTAGTTAATTTATCTATCTTACTTTCCAAAGAAGATGAACTTATCTTATGAACCCTTCGAGGAGTTTCTTTAGTTGGGCGAAACTGTTGGGAATTTGTAGCCATTGTGGAAATTAAATCCCTAGCCTCAGTAAGAATTATGTTCACCAAAGCTCCTCCGCTGGTAGCATCGATCAACTTCATTTCCAGGGGAGTGCATCCTTCATAAAAGTATTGAAGAAGTGTTTTCTCAGTTAACCCATGATGTAGGCAATTAGCACATAACTTTTTAAATATCTCCTTGTAGTCATAGAGTGACTATCCCTCTAGTTGCTTAATTCCATGTATCATTCTTCGTAACTCACTTGCTTTCGTCGTAGGAAAAACTTGTCAAGAAAAATGCGAGTCATTTAAGCCCATGTAGTAATTTAATTTGGGGGTAAATAAAATAATAACTCCTTAGCCGAATCTGCTAATGAAAAAGGAAAAGCTCTAAGTTTGATTTGGTCCTCAGTTACTCCATGTGGTTTCATGCTGGAGCAAACCATGTGAAATTCCATGAGATGTTTATGTGTATTTTTTTTGGTAATCTGCGGAAGGTAGGAAGGAGATGAATAAGACCAATTTTGTACTGGTATAGAGTTTTTCCTTGGGGAAAATCAATGCACAAAGGCTCTTGTTCAATAGGAGTCGCGACTAACTCTCTGATAGAGGGATTGGCCATCGGATTTGGTTTTGTATTAACGACTTCGGCTAAATTTGATTCTGAATTCGATTATGGATCTGATTGTTGTCTCATTCTTTCTCAAAGCGTCTGCGCGTGAAGTCTCTGAGCCCTGGCTTCAATTTTCGGGTCGCACTCCACTAATTCGACCTGATCATAAATCAAAAGCAAACAAAAAAATTAGAAACTTTGGTGAAGTCCCCGACAATGACACCAATTTGACAACTGTCATTTTGATGTCAAAATAAATTCATTATTCTCAATTAATAAATGAAGGAAATACGTAGTAAAGAGAAATAAGGGTCGATTCCACAGGGACTTAGAAATTCCTAAATTTCATTTTGAATTACCTTTACCAAATGATATGCAATAGATAAAAAAAGGGTTTGGTAAAAAGGATTAAATAATAAAAAGTATTTTAAAGTAAAAATAAAGAAAACAGAGAATGTAAAGTTGAAAACAAATATGGTAAAAACAACCTCAAGCCTCGCTTTGACTCAGTTTCCTTTTGATAATCAAATTATATTTTCCCTTCGGGATTCAGTTAAGTTATTTTGTCTACAAGGGCAATCTTTGTGACTCTACTTTGTATACCGAGTACCCAAGGCAATCTTTGATTCTGGCTTTGAAAATTGATCTTATCAACATCAATTTTCGTAGATCAATAATCGTTTAAGTTCGTTAAGACTGTCTCATATTGTTGTTTCAATAACTACTAATTTTGGTCTCAATTCCCTCTTAGCAAGACAATCTTGCCAAGTTTGTTCCCAGGAAGTCGAATGTGCTTTTAATAAGCCGATCGTTTCTCCCTCACCTTTAATTGCAACAATATCATGACCAAAATCATTCTTTGATTTTGAACAAAATTTAGATTTTGAAAATAAGCGTAGAGATTGAGAGAGATATTCCGAAGTTGTTCAAGTTCTTTTCAATTATCATGTTGGAATTGAGTCATCGCTTTAGCTCTCCACTTATGAGAAAATTAGCTAAGAATGAAAAAAGTCATACTTATCATGTTTAAAAATAAAACTTAAAATAAAATGAAAATGAAAACTTGAAAAGAAAAGAAAAGAAAGAACTTTATAAAACTAGAAATAAGAAGAAGAGTGAAATATGAGTTGTGTTTAGGCTTACCCCAAGAGGATATTTATACCCTTTAAAATCCTAGAAATAAACATATAAATTAAAAGAAAAAAAAAATCCTAAAGATAATTCCAAATGTTTTTTCAAATTCAAACTTCAAAATTAAAAATAAATCTCCTAAGATATCTCTGCTCGTCCACCTTCCAAAAGGCGCTGATTAGATCTTCTAGAAAACTACTATTGACTGGACCTTCTAGAAACTGCCACGTCAGATAGTGTCATGCCCAGAGTCGTTCCCATGTTTCTAGTCATGACCAAATAATAAAAAAATGCAGAATACACCATTTTTAGAAATAGGCTGTGTTGCACAAAAATAAGCATAACACAACCAAATCAGCAACAATAAATCCATGAGATCGAAAAATTAACGAGCAAATATATCAATTTAGAACACTCATCAATTTCCTTCAACAATACCATAGGCAAAATCTCCCATAATTTTTTTCCAAAAGACAATGCAAAATAATTAACGATCAGAAAAAGAAAAAAATGAAAAAGGAAGTCTGTTAGACAATTGCGCGACCATCCCAACTAGACAAGGCAGGCTGAGAATGATCCTCTACGGAAAATGAAGTCCTTATTTAAGAAGAGCAAAATTGAAAATTATAAACTCATATTTAGCAAGTTTCAAGCCATTCATGTGTTCATTACCTTTAACAATACCATAGGCAAAATCTCCCATAATTTGTTCCAAAGGATAATTCAATGGAACTACTGATCAAAAAAGGAAAAAAATGAAAAAGAAAGTCTGTCAGACAACTGCGTGACCATCCCGGCAAGACAATGCAGGCTGAGAATGATCCTCTGCAACCAATTAAGTTCTTATTTAAGAAAAATAAAATTGAAAATTCTAAACTCGTATTTGTCAAGTTTCAAGCCATTCATCTGCTCATTGCCTTTAACAATACCATAGGCAAAATCACCCATAATTTGTTCCAAAGGTCTATGCAATGGAACTAACGATCAGAAAAAGAAAAAAATGAAAAAGGAAGTATGTTAGACAACTGTGTGGCCATCCCGACAAGACAAGGCAGGCTGAGAACGATCCTCTACGGCCAATGAAGTCCATATTTAAGAGACTGCTGACCAATAATCACGCTCTGATCACACAATCTCATTTCATCAACCAGACTTGGAAGCTTGTCTCCTTATAACTCAAGGATACAAAGGTACGATCGTATAGAACAAATCCTATTCAAGTAAGGTCGTATCCTACAAACTCTTGGTTCTAAGCTAAATATCATCATTCTTTGTCTTCTTTTTCCCATGTGGGATTTGATAGAACTAAATCATAATAACTATGAAAACCAACCAGGATCCAATCATGTCAAACCATCAAGAATAAAATAAAATAGATTTGCAAAAGTCTACCTAAATCTATTATTGGAGATTATCTAGAAGGTTGAGATTTTGAAGATTGTCTTGGTTGTGATCTTCTAAGAATATATAATTCTCTTTAGTATAAACTTTCTGACGGGGATAAGAGTAATACGAGATGATCTATTTCTTGGGGAGCATAACCCCTTTATGTAGTTGATTTAAGAATCATTTATTTTCTGTACTTATAACTCTGCCCCTCATCGAATTATAAATACAACTTTAATAGTATCTACACTTTTATTTCTATGACACTTCTAATAACTTATGACTTTATAACATAATTGGTCATTTAATTTATATGTAGTATTTTATGATAACAATATACATTTAAAATTACCCACTTGGGTAACATATGTTTCCTGATAAATGTATAACCTTACGAGCTCAAAATTTGTTATCATTCAATAGGTATTCTATAACAATCTCATCCATCAACTATATCCATATATGATCAAAGCGACCTTTGCCATATCAATCATGACTAGACCCATCAATGGTCACGTATACAAACACAGTCAAATGACATAGATCAATCATGGAGTGTAGCATGGAAATTACATGCAATGTGAACCGTACATGTCTATTTCTAATTGGTCGTCTTTAGTGAGATCAACATTTTCCAAAACCAGAGCATGGATAAACCAAAACAAGCTTAATTTCTACAGAAAATAATCTTAAAATAAATATCCTTAAACTGAAGTAACTAGAATTATGTTTATAACCAACGAGCATTTAAATTAAACTCCCACTAATCCTTAAATGATATTACACCCACATGAGTAATGTGCTTATGAAAGGCCTAGAGGACAATTCCTTAATGAGCGTGCAATAATAAGTTTGCACCAATATGCTCTATAAAACGCATAATCACTATGTATTTTCTTTAACAATTAGAAATATAATATCTATGTGCTTACACTTTAAGGTGTTTCTATTGTATATGAAATAAAGGATTGCAACTTTGTTGTCACAAATAACTCAAGTGGTCTTTCTTATCAATCCATAATTAGCAGTTCATTTAACAAAATTTTACATCCATATTCCAATAAATCAAAGTCCATAAACCCGATGATCTCTTACTTACTAGACCTCCAATATCTGGGCATATAATATTTTTGTTCTTAAATGTATCATATGAATTAATTTGATTGTTATCAAACGATCCATATCCAAATTGCTTAAATATCTGCTTAATGTCCCAAAATCATACGCTACGACTGAATGAGTACAAACCTGAGTATACATTAATAGCATTCATTTAACAAAATTTTACATCCATTCCAATAAATCAAAGTCCATCAACCCGATGATCTCTTACTTACTAGACCTCCAATATCTGGGCATATAATATTTTGTTCTTAAATGTATCATATGATTAATTTGATTGTTATCAAACGATCCATATCCAAATTGCTTAAATATCTGCTTAATGTCCCAAAATCATACGCTACGACTGAATGAGTACAAACCTGAGTATACATTAAACTCTTCATTTATTTATGAAGTATGAGGAACCTTTTTGAATTTCCTTAGTTCCAAAATCATTCTTACGGAACTGATAAAGACTAAACTTGTTTCCTTTAGCAAAAAGGGGTATCACTTGGTTTACTCCCACTAAACTTATAATATATACAATAGTCAACCAAATTTATCTCAAAACCAAATGAGATAATCACTTGATGAAATTTGTTATACAATTAATGGGAGTAATACTTAAACTCATAAATGGATTTCCTTAAGTTCATATAATTAATTTTGTATCATTAGACACAATTTTCTAACTGTACCATATAAACCATCTCATCAATATTACCATTGAGAAACATAATTTTGAAATCCAACTTATGTAATTTAAGATCAAATATGAGTAACAAATATCATGATTATCCTTAAAGAGTCTTTCAATGAAACGAAAAAGAAAGTCTCTACAAAATTAATACATTATGTTTTAGTATATCCTTTAGGTACAATATATTCCTAATATATGTCAACATCACCTTTTGTATCCATCTTGGTTTTAAATATCCATTTGCAACCAATCATCTTTTCACCTTCAGGTAATGAAACAAGTTCTCAAACTTTATTATCTTGTATACAACTTATACTATTCTTACATGACATTAATCCACTTTTGAGAGTAAAAACTTTTATGACATGATGAAGGTTGATTAAATCATCGTCCATCATTCCACTATCATCTCTATTTCTTGTAGAAACATAATAATCTAAAATAATATTTCTCTCATTTCGTGGATCTTCAAAATGACACTTATCCTTTAAGGTTGTTGAGTTTGTTCTTCTGTAACAATTTCCAATCTTAAATGGAAAGTTGTTCAATATTATCTTATTGAGGTTCTAGATTCACTTCTTGATTAACGACATGTATGAATACATGAATATAAGAAAAAGTGATAAAAGGAATTGAGTTATAATTCAATTACCCCTCAAAAGCAATTCATTAAACCTTATTTATCACTCCAAACTCAACCTTCCAAAAAATTATGTTATAGATCTCATCTTAAAAAGATTCCTAATTATAAGACCATAAAACTTATAACCTTTGGATCGCTCAGAATAACCAAAAATAGTTGCTTATTTTTTTAGAATTTAATTTATCCTCAAATGTCCTAACTTATCTAAAAAAGAGAACAACCTTTTGTAACATATTGTTGTCTCTTTAAGTTGGACCCTTAACAACTACATTCTGATTTTATTTTTTGCCTTTATTTTTATATGCACTTTTTAAATGAGTACTTTTAAACTTATTATGCTTCAACCTTTCTTCCTCTAGCACATAATGAAAAATGAGCTCATTTAGAGTTCATTTCTCTCTTTCAGTTGATTAAACTCTATAAGAAGCAATACTAAAATCACAAGAACAACTAATTCTTCAGAAAAACTCGATCTTAAGTGCCTTAAGTGTTGAGGCAATATGAAACATATCCATAATGTACTTGTAGACACCTGTTTTTGTCCATGTTTTAATTATTATTATTATATTAATAATATTCTAATTTATATTTTGTAGGCCCAAATAGAGCCCAAATTACAAACCCAATAAGCAGCCTAAAGTACAACACTCAAGCCCACATTTAGAAGCCCAAACCCGACTAGGGTTTTCTGGACTTTCTTTCTCTCTTCCCAGCACCGCCTCATAATCTCGACCGTCCGATTGGGTTAAAGAACAATGGTCCAGATCACCCAAAAGCTTAGCATTTTAACCCTAAATATCAACAACCACTGCCACTACCCAGAAGATCTGGACCGTCCGATCATGCGCCTGTGGTCCATGCGCCCATCGATTGATATCCCTAGCCGCCGTCATCATCAGAACATACCGAACAGTGCACCAAATGAAATCAGTAGCAAACCCAATCAAAAAACCATAAAAATGATCTAAATCCCAAAAAGTCGAGGAATTTTACTTGCTCAAACATAGGGAAATCATTCCCCTATTAAGATGTGAAGATTTCATCCAAAAAATCAATCATAAATCAACATACAACTAGAGATCCAAGGAGGAGTACTTTTGAACAACGAAAAAAAACAAAAAGGAGAGAAGCTTTCGAATTAAAACCCATCGAAAATAAGAAGAAAAAAAGAGAATAAACAAAGAGAGAAAATATAAGAGAAAAGGAAAATAAAGGAAAAAGACATTACCTTGGTTCAGAGCACGTCGGAAGCTCAAAAAGTCACCAATTTTTTTAGTTTTTTGAAAGGTAAAAACCTAGATCTATGAGATTTGGTTGGGTTTTAGGTAAAATTAGCCTCGGTTTCAGGCTCATTGGAGATAGAAGATTTTTTGTGAGATTTGTTTTCTTTACGGCCACCATCGGCGGTGGTTAGACGACGATGAAGCATCGCCCGACAGCGTCGTCTGTATTTCCCAGTTAGGGAAGTTGAGAGCTTTTTCTCGCTCTCTCTATATTATAAAAGGAAAAGAAGACAAATGAGGGGGTATAGCCGGTTTTGACCTTGATTCATCGTTTTGGCATTTAGGTTAACCCCATTCCGGGCCCTTTGTACTTTGTTACCTCTCATTTTAGTCATTAAATAGAATTTATGCACGTTTGATTTTGAGCTTTGAATTATACTATGCTTTTGTTTTAATTACCATGTGCTTGTTATTTACTTTTGGGATAAACAATTATTGTGATTGATAATTATTTATTTAATTCATTTTAGTCCCTACTAATTTTTGTCATGTGCCGTGGTTTAATCTATGATTTTAGCTGACAATTTATATTTAAGTTCATTTTAACCTTGTGATGATCCCTGTGTAAATGTATGTTTTAATTGGATCCTTTATTTTTCTATAATACTCATTCTAGTCATTATTTTTGTTTAGAATATGAAATTTCATGGTTCGCCACTTAATTTGATTTTATTATTTTTTCCTCTTTATGATTTAGTCCTTTGTTTATTTATTTTATTTCTAATTTAATATGTTTTTATTCTTTATAGAATATTTTAATTAATTGATTAATTTAATTATGTACTTTCCTTTTTTTATAATATGAATAATAATAGATGTTTTAGTATTATCAAACATTAGAATAAATTTTACATATTTATTTTATTAAATACTTCTTAACTTTGCATGTTTACATAATGTTCACCTTAATGTTTTTATTCTATCTTATTTGTTTTAATTTGATTTATGAAATGTTCTTTTGGTAATATTATGTGTATCTCTTATATTTAATATTTTAGTAGCTAATTGGAATACTTTCAAAGGACATCCGACATAGAATGGGCGTGAAAAGCACAAGCTATAAAGAAGTAGTGTGATTCAAGACGACATTCGAATAATAGGTGAACTTGAAATT